CCTTCAGCCATTGCTATGCAACAGCCTTCATACAAAGAACCGCCCATGATCTTCTCACAGCTGGAGCTTGGGCTGCCTGTGGTCTGACCCTAGAAGATGCAAGAAAAATTCAACACCCTCCTGCTGATTGAAATTCACAGACCTTTGGTTCTTTCATAGTTTGAAATTGCACTTTTGTTATCATTTAAAGATTTTCCTGTTGCCAGGGTATTAGGCTATAGCGCAAAGATAAATCAAAGTGCTCTGTGAGAAAACTCGTGAATTGACGCATGATTTTGACACATGATGTTTAATGTTATCTGGTTTAGGGAATTTTGTGGTTGATTGTCATATCTGGAGTACGAGCAGTAGTTCAGTGTTCGCTAATGTAGCAAAGAAACAAAGTAGCGTTGGGATAAGAAGGCATTACAATTGAAATGATCATGCTATTACATTTGACAAGGTGGATGATGTCATGTGTTTTAAACGTCTATCATTTTTGTTTCTGGTTCAAAAGAAAAGATTGGAAGTAAATGTGGGTGAAAAGTGAAATTTACTGTCTTTCGTTGTAAATATTAGAAAATCAAGGCAATACTGTCTTAATGAAAACATTAACGATTCCCTCTTTATCAACTCAGACAACTTGGAACGAGTTTTGAGTGATATAACTAAGCCAAGCCTGCCACCGTCATTTTGGATCTCCGCCTGGGTAGATTTAAGTCACGTGCGAGGCAACGTATAATCAATAACAAGATAGAATTTCATTTCAGGCCTATTTATCAATTTTGTGGTGTGTAACTTTCGCATTTTAGTACGTTGTATGTATGTTGAATCTTCAAATTGTCTTGAAACTTAAAAGAAAATTGTTCTTTAAAAATTCACTGAAAATCGGTAGCTAAAATTGTTTGTTTAGGTGTTATCTGATTTTCGTGTTAATTTGTAATTTCGTCAGTCGCCGGCATCTTTTGTTGCTTCACACAGGAAAAACACACGCGACGAAACGTAATGATCAATTTTGTCCTCAAACTCACGCCATAACAGAAAAAGCTTTTGAACATCTGTAAACTTCGAGCGCTTAGCAGTAAGTAATATTTTCAATGAATCTTCGGATTGTTTTCGAGTTCAAGGATTGTAAATTACAATTTTATGAAAAACGAAGGTTGTTCTGCTATTTCAGTGTGAATCCTTGCATGCCTGCCAGTTGCTGGCGCCGCTTGTTGAAACTAAAACGAAAAAAAAAACTCTTTTAAGATTATCATTGGCTTCTTTTTCACCCCACCACTATTCTTAGCAACAAAGGTCGCCATTTCTTCTGTTTACTGCTCGCTAAAAACTATCAAATGCACTCAAAAGCCTAAAATCTAAAAAAAGTTTACAGGAATCGACCAATCGAGCGAGCGAGCGAGCGAGCGAATGCCAGTCCCCACATGGTATCTATAACTCGCTCTTGCGCATGCGCACAATTCACGAGTTAAAAATGATGCTGATTGCGATAAAAGTCTAACCAAACAAAGAGTAATAATTTTCAATTTACTTGCTCACTACTTCTCTTCCGTTTTGCATTTTGTTTTACATTCTGAAAGTCAATTAAAAGCCAAATATAAAAATAAAATTGACTAAGATGTCAGTCGCCTGATGGAGGTAACTATATGTCAAAAAGCTTTTGGAACTTCCTTAATTGAATGAAAGGGAATTAGTTGATAAAAGGAGATCAGTCGCCGAACTAATTAAAAAACGCTATCACGGAAAAAAAAGATGAAAAAAGGTTCTATTTGTTTTAGTTTACTCCGTGATAATTACGATTCGCAGGCTTTAAGATTGATGCATACAGCCATTGTTAAAAACGACCCTCTGTTGTCAATAACTAAGAATATTTCAATTTGGCGTTCAAGCGGTCAGTCATTTTATATAAACAATGTAAAAATATCATTTTAAGTTTCTTATTAGAGCATAACGCTGGCTTAGTTCTGGATTTTAGATTTTTCGACATCAACTATTTTGGACCAGGCTGTTCTGTTCGCAACAGAAGCCATACCATGTTTAACAACACAACTATTCATTTCCAGCGAAAATCTAATTCCCATCTAACATCAGAAGACGTAGCAAATAATATTCATGCCTTCTATTTCTCAACATCTGTTGTCCTCACTGTTTCATCGCCCGTGGCAGTGGTGGGGAATGCGCTGATTTTGGCAACAGTTTGGAGGAGGACATTCGCCAGAACATCATTCCATATTCTCCTCAGTGGTTTAGCGCTCACTGACTTTTGTACTGGTCTCATCGTTCAACCTTTCTATGCTGGGTTCCATTTGTCATATTCAAAAAAATCCGTCTCGGAGCACGATTTGACGATGGCAATTGTTCATATAATCTTCGTGAGTGGTGGCATCTACTTCGTTACTGTCACGATGGTTACTATAACACTAATGTCCATTGAACGATGGCTGCACATGTCTCGAAGATTTCATCTTACATCAAATCGAAGACGTTTCACGACCATATTGAGCATGATCTTGCTCTGTCCGACTCCAGCTATAGTCATTCGCCTTAATGGTATTGAAGACAATCTTTTTTCTGCTTTAGTTCTGGCAGAGATGTTGTCTTGTTATCTTCTCACATTTTTCGCCCATTTTAAAGTTTACAAAATTATTCGTCGGCATCAGCACCAAATACAAGCCAGTAATTTATCTCAGAACTTTGGTCAACCCGCAATAGACTTAGCGAAATACAAGAAGTCTGTATCATCCATGCTTTACATCTTACTCTTGTTTTCCATCTGCTACATACCCTACATTGTTAGCATTTTGATTCCTTTCATTTTTACTCCTACGGATGACATAAAACTTCTGTTTGCTAGAGAAACGTCAATAGTACTTTGTTTTTTGTCGTCATCTCTCAACCCAGGTTTATACCTTTGGAGAATGAGAGATTTGCGCAATGGCCTAAAACAAATTTTTACGAGCTGAAACAGTTATAGGAAGACGTTGATTTTTCATATGTTGTGGTTGCATTCTATAGGTTTCTTTGACAGAGCAATAGTTTTAAATTGTTTTAAAAAGTAGCAGTTTATTGTAAAAAGGTTTTTCAAAAGACCAACACTTGTACATAATCATTAAAGAGAATAAAGAAAAAAAGCCAATTCTGGTATAGGAGACTTTCGATGTACTAGGTATATCGCTGATGGCCACCGGCTTCGGCGCACAACTCAAGATCTGCAAGTAAAGAAACCTGAAAGATAACCATAGCGGGGTAAACAAAACGGTACAAAAAGATAAGCTGAACTATGGTTTATTCAAGCAAGGAAACGTAGCGTCATTTGAAGCTCATGAAGATCGTTGACTTTCTCTAAAGTGCCTTTCGGTCATCATCATTGTTTTCATCCTCATTTTCATAAAAGCAATTTTAAAGCCCAGGTTTAATTCAGCGAATGTTTTTCAAAGAGATGTTTGCAGATGTTTGCAGATGTTAGCAGCTGTTCATATTTCAATCATTAGTGTGATACCGAGAAAAATTCCGAGTTCCCATTTTTTTCCATTTTTTTTTTCAGTTCAATCATTAGTGTGATACCGAGAAAAATTCCGAGTTCCCATTTTTTTCCGTGCCAGATGTGGATGATCTTGATAGTATCAATCGATTAGCAACTGTGAGAACCAACAACAGTCAACTGATAAAAAGTCCAATTTCAATGTTGTGTGAGGGGAGGGGTAGGTGTATAATTGTTCAGATAATAACATAGATCCAAATTTCTATCAGTCCCATTTTTTCCGAAGATTGCAACAAAATTAAACACGTGACTGAAAAGTGGAACAAACAGAGCTTTCCTTTTATTAAATTTGAAATTGCAACATTTCTGTCTTTTGTTATCAATTAAATATTTTTCTGTTGCCAGGGCATCAGACTACAAGGCATAGACCAGAAAGGCTTTCATCATCTCTGCTGATTGCAGTAAAATTTAACCAAACTCGAATTAATAATTTTCAATTTACTTGCTCCCTACTTCTCTTCCGTTTTGCATTTTTTTTTCAACTTTGAAAGTCAATTAACAGCAAAGAAAAAATATAATTAACTGTGATGTATAATTGCTTGATGGAGGTCAGTACATTTCCGAAAGCTTTCACTACATCATATAAGTGCACTGCGGTTGAAGAAACGACTATAGAAGCGATCTTCGCAGTTATGAACACTACTTAACTGGTAGTTGAAAGGTCTATCAAACAAAAATTTATCTCCCAAATCGGCACTCTTAAACCCTACGGTATCAACGAGCGCTTTTAATTTAACTAATTTATTCTTGTTTTCTCGTCACCATATTCCCATCATAATAGCGTAGCTCCATTTTCTGCATATAAACCCACACGCAACCCACAATTCCTCCAATCGCTCTGACGAAGGGCTAACGCTCGAAACGTCAGCCTTTAACCTCTTTACGGTGGCCAATTTACGTTTTCAACTCGGTTGATAACACTAAATTACCCTGCTATGAATATCACTTTCTTTATTAATATTATTGTTGCTGCCACTTTCCACTATTTTAGTCATCATCATTATTATTATTGTTATTGCTATTACAATTATTATCGTTATCACTATTATTATTATTACCATTTTCGATGAGTATGGGCTCCGCTGCGCGCGTACTGCAAGACTCGCTATGTATTAATTCATTTGCAAGGGCTTTAAAAAATTTTTATTTAAAAGGAGTACCGATATTTTTATCCATGCGGAAAATTTTGAATTGCTAACTGAAGGGAACATTCATGTAAATTTTTTGGCAAAATCTCAGTTCAACTTCTTTTGCTGGGAAGTTTTTTTCTTGGTGAAAATTGAGAAGGTTTTTAAAACTGTTATTTTGCAAAAAAAATCCAGTTTTTTTCGCTGCTTGACATCTTGGACTCTTTGGGGTAAAATTTGATGTAATCGAATGCTTGCTAAAGTTGTATTGAATGAGTCGGGTGAGCAGACCCTGGGAACGAAAAACTCGTTTGTTGATTCCAGTCTTCCTCGTCTTTAAGCAACATGGCTGAAGGGTTGATTAAGAATTATCTTGGACTAACTATACTGCCTTGATTTGTCAAGATCAATGTAAAGTTTAAGGAAAATAATGACACAAAGGGAGAAGAAGCGTGTTCGTGTCTACACAGGGGTAACAAAAGAGATCTTCGAGTCAGATATAGCTTCTAAGCGTAAGCCAGCGCTTCTACGAGGACTCGATATTGGCAGTGCTTGTGGAAAGTGGTCACCGGAATATCTTGCTCAGCATGGCGGTGAAAAGACAGTGAAGGTTCACGTCTGTCCTACTGGGAAGATGGACTTTATTCACAAAAACTTTGCATACAAGTAAGGCTCTAAAAAAATCAGGCTAAGGCGTGATAAGATAAAGCAAAAAGGACAGGGTATACAGTATAGTTCGTGTACCTGAGTTTACAGTTTAAAATACCATTCTTCTATCCTAGTCTTTGAGAGATGTGATATGCTTAATTATTTTAAAAAGAAATTTCTAAGTGTTTTTCCTTCTTGGGTATGGTTTTCAGCTGTGATGAGCCCTTGGTCAGCAAAAGTGAGTGTCAAATCCAACACTAATGTTCCATTGCAAATGGAGAAGAATTACAACCTCCTCTTGAACCCAAATGACCCATGACCAGATTCAGCGTCATATTGTTACTGATTCCCCAATTAATATAAAATAAGGGGATAATCAAATTGTTATCATATAAAGTTGGCAGATTGCTACAAGTGACTGACTGAATATGATTGCTTGAAAGTGCTAATGAGCCCTTGGTCACCAAATGTGAAAGTCAAATCCATCACTAATGTTCCATTGCAAATGGAAAAGAATTGCAACCTCCCTTTGTACCCAAATGACCTTTGACCTAATTCAGCGCAGTATTGTTACTGATTCCCCCATGAATTTGAAATAAGGAGACCATCAACATTATCATGAATGGAGGAGTAATTATTACAAGTGGCTGACTGAACATGATTGCATTAAAGTGTTCTTGTTCAACTGCCTTACTGTCAAAAAATATGAACCCTTCTGGAAAATATATTTTTCATTTCATTTTGTTTTATATTTTTTCCTTTCCTTTGTTTGTTTGATTTTGTTGTTGCAGTATTTGTTGTTGTTTTGTTATTTTGGTCTTTACTCTATAATACAGATTATACTCAATAACAATATATTCCAAGCAGTCCTAAGGAGAAACGAACTTTTGATCTTTCTTTTAGCCCTTAAACTCCCAGATCAAATTTGTCATTCTCCTTACTGTCAACCATATAATTCTTATAATGTTAGTTCAGAGAATTTAGTACTGGATCAACTAATTATCCCCAAATTGATATTTTACTTCATTCTCATCACTTGTCTGGTTGATACTGTAATAATATTGTAAGGAGAAATTCTGTCTTGGTCACTCATGGGAGTTAAAGGGTAATAATAGTTTGGATGCTTTACCACAGGGCTTTATAAAGTTCTCATCAAAATGTGCTTCCTTAAAGTCCATTTCCATCTTAAAACTACTCCAGCTTATATATAAGCTAGCCTGGCTTGTAAAACTGACCTCTTCAAGAGGGGAGAAGGAAGGAAATCACCCCCACTAGTTCCTCTTGTGGGGAAAAATTTAATAACTTGTGGGTGAATTGGAAATCTTTACTTTAATGCTCTCTTTCCCTCACAAATTAACCCTTTAACTCCCAGATCAAATTTGTAATTCTCCTTACTGTCAACCATACAATTCTTATGATGTTAGTTCAGAGAATTTAGTATTGGATCAACTAATTATTCCCAAATTGATATATTTCTTTATTCTCATCACTTATCTGGTTGATATTGTGTTAATATTGTAAGGAGAAATTCTTTCCTGATCACTCATAGGAGTTAAAGGTTAATGCCTACAGGTATTAGCTCCCCTCCTCACAAGACCTTCCATGACTATTTTTACCAAGGTTGGACATTTTCACAAACCTCACAATGCCTTCACTTTTGTATTTTTTCAATTTATTTTCAGAACTCTTCCATTTAACAAATTTGTCATGCGGACCAGTGAAACTGTTCATAAAGAATATTTTATTTGCCCAGTAAGTTCTTTAAATACATTTATTGTAGAACTCTTAAATATTAGTGAATAAATATAACCCAGACAAGTACAGGATTTTCCTTAAAAGCCCCTTACCAGCAGTGTATGGCAACCTGTAAGACCTCTTGCAGTTGTATTATTTATTATTTGAACCCTTTAAAAGGCTAATAGTGATTAACATCTAGTTTCTCCTTACAATATCACCTCTAAATCATTAACATTAGGGTCATGAGAGTAAAGGAAATGATTACCAACTAAAGAAGCTCTTGATTGTAAAACAGATTCAAATCCCGTACAGGCCTGAATTTTTTTCAGGCCTTATTTTCACTACTGCCTAAGTAGTGCACATTACTGCGAGGATCACTTTCATTCACATCTTTATCCGCAGTTCAAATATAATTATGACTTTCATATATTCTTAACCATTTATTTCATCACTTCACGGGTTTATTTAGAACCAGCTCCCAGTTGGCTTGTTAGCTCAGTTGGTAGAGCGCTGCACCGGTATCGCAGAGGTCATGGGTTCAAATACCATACAGGCCTGAATTTTTTTTTTCAGGCCTTATTTTCACTACTGCCTTAGTAGTGCACATTACTGCAAGGATCACTTTCATTCACATCAAAACAGATTCTCTTTGTTAACACCTTAGGAAATGTGTAGAGAGCAGTATAGAGGATATGCATACTGATGTTAGGGTGTAAAGGGTTAATTAGATATTGTATATCATTAAAAAAAACAAACAAACAAAGAGATTGTGGTTAACAGAATGTTATGTGTGGTGGAATAAATATTAGAGTACATAGGTAACTGTATTCATGTTTGTCTCAGAATGTAGCCACTTCTGATCTGGGGGGTGATTCATATTGACCACATCTGATGCAACAAATGACCACACTTAATTATTACTATATGATTAAAGAAGTAACATACAAGAGTGCCAATTTTTTTAATCATCGAGGTGAAGACTAGAAATCTGATACTTAATCTTTTAACTCCCAAGATCTCATTAGTAATTCTCCTTACTGTCTTCCATACAGTTCTTGTGATGTTAGTTTGGAGAATTTGGTATTGGATCAACTAATAATCCCTTAACTGATATTTTTCTTTATTCTCATCTTTTGCCTGCTTGATATTGTATTGATATTGTAAAGAGAAATGCTGTCTTGGTAACTCATGGGAGTTTAAGAGTTAACTTACAATTTTTTTTTTTCTCAGGAGGAGAAATATTATCTAAGATCTCTTGGAGATGATCCTAGAAAGGTATGAAATTAATTTACATTGTACTCAACCCTTGAACTCCCAGAAGTGATAAGCATGAAACTTCTTCCCATAATATCCATACATTCTTCAGCAAACAGGTAATGAGAATATTCAAACTCATCAGGTAGAAGCTGCTTTGTTGATCTAGCACTAAGTTGTCATAACTTATTTACAAGCAAATGTGTAGCAGCTAGAGGGAGGAGAATTAACAATCAGATCTTGGGAGTTAAAGGGTTCAATTTTGCTTCCAGATATCATGTCAGGCTCAAACTGTCTTAATGTCTTGTATGTAGAGAAGTAAGGTTGATATTAGGACTCTGGAGAAAATGAATTTAGATTAAGCTATAATTTTTTGTTTCAATATCACATGCTTTGTATTATAATACAGTCCTTTTTACTCTTTTGTGTTTTTGTTTTGTTAGGATATCTCTGACATCACAGTTCAGTTCCCTAGCTTAGCTCAAGATATAAAAATCCCAAAGTTGTACCCAGAGGACAGATTCTTTTCAAGTGTGTTCAGAATCAGTTCAGCACAAGGGCAGTTGTGGACACATTATGATGTAAGTTAAATGATAATGTATTTTTTATCCACAACGTAAAGGTTTGATTTAATTATTATTGTATGGCAAGGTAGTCTTGAGTTAAATCCAAGGGTTCTGATTGGTTCATACTTGGTCTGGATTTTTCCAAAAGGGACCATTTCTATGGAAAAGGTCATATGCTAGTTATTTTTGCTCTCAACATCTGCTGGAAAATTCAAAATGAACAAGTTTGGTCTAGGTACCATGTAAACTACTTGCTAATCTCATTTGCTTGAGTCACAATTTGGAATATGGTTTCTCAGTCATTTTGTACAGACCTTGAGTTACCACAGGGTCATGCCAATATTTCTCAGTAGGGCCCTGGTGCCTGGTTAGTAAGAAGTTTTTGTTTCATTCGTTTGACTAATCTTCCAGTTCATCATGAATGACACTTTCATATTTGTCTGTGAAAGAAAAGTAGGTGGGAATTGAATGATGTTGAAAGGGAATGGTTTTTATTGAAAGTGACTTCAGAAAAGCCACTTATGCGTGGACATTGTGAATGTCTATATTGATTCTTGGTCTCTGGTTCTCATTGATGCTTCTTGGTGGAGAAGGAAACTAGAAGAGTAAAGAACACAAACATGAACCGTAGCCTTGATGAAACCCAAAAATGGAGAAATTGAGGCCCTAGAAGTCCCCTCTTCTGTGCAGAGATGACAGTAAACTTGAAACAAACCAGCACAAACTTAAACCATCCTCTCTAGAGGTATTAACAAAAATCACTGCTGTTTACTGGTTTCTTGTACTCAGTTTGGTATCATCATTCACACCAAATATTGTTGGTTGTTCAAATTTTAACCTTTTACATCCTAGTATTGCTTTGCATATCCATCGTATAACTGTTCTCTATATAATGACATGGAGAAATTGCTTCATCATTCAGTGGACATTTCCTTCATTGTCTTGACCTTGATGTTTGATACAGTAGTGGTAATATGAGGGGAAATTGGATACAAGTCACTCTAGGGATCAAAGGTTTAGTTAGATAACGGCCCTTCTGATAGAAACAGACTGATTAACTTTGTGGCGCTGAGAGTGAAGTGAAGGGTCCTCAGAAACTAGTCAAGTGAGTGACTGGATGGAGTGCATGACAGGATGGAGGGCGTGACAGGTTGGAGGGCGTAATAGAATGGAGGGCGTGACAGGTTGGAGTGTGACACGATGGAGGGCGTGACAGGATAGAGGATGTGACAGGGTGGAGGGCGTTAGCACTGCTCTATTACAGGTAGCATTTTTGGAGTTGCCTTGATAGGTAACCATTACTCTTGGGTGCAATAAGCCAGTGTGTGAGTAAATTGTCTTGTTCATGTTAACAACCTAAACTAAATGTAGGTCAAGGGCACCTTTGGTGTGGAGTTAAATGCTTGCAAATAGGGCTTTTCGTTCTCTTGGCTGGATTACAAGATCACCAGCCACAATGAATCACTCAGCTGTGTTTGTTTGTTTTTTGCTTATTTTAGCAATAGAAAGTATTTTCCCAGCTTACCCTAATTTTCTCTTGACATTTCAGTGCTCAGAGCTTGTAGCCTGGATTTCCCTATCAGCTTGTACTCTTTTTGTATCTTTAAGCCACAGTGACCTATATATCACTGTATTTCACTTTACTCTGTTGGCACACTGCTGGTTGTATCAGTATGCGAAACCTGTGAACTGATACAAAACAGGCGTATTGCTGAGCTTGGCTCCAGTTCGCCAGAGCTAAAAGTGAGAGCATGCGACCAGCATTCAGAACGTCGTGAGATCCAAACTTCACCAAGCACTTTGAGTAATTCTTTCTTGCACACACCGGTGATAAGCGAATCTTAAAATTCTTCTTTGATTTCTACAGATTATGGACAACCTCCTTATTCAAGTGACAGGAAGGAAGCGCGTTGTCCTCTACAGTCCAAAAGATGCAACAAAACTGTATTTAAATGGTGATAAATCAGAAGTCTTAGATATTGATCGGCCAGACTTAACCAAGTATCCAAAATTTGCAGAAGCAACGCCCTTTGAGTGCTTTTTAGAACCTGGTGATGTTTTGTTTATTCCCGCTATGTGGTTCCACAACGTGATTTCTCTACAGTTTGGAGTAGCAGTTAACGTATTTTGGCGTCATTTAGATATGGGCTTTTATGACAGTAAGGACACGTACGGCAATAAGGATTTGGTCCCTGCCGCAAGGGCCATGCAAATAATGGACCGTGCTATCAAAGCGTTAGAGGAGCTTCCTGAGGAGTATAAAGATTTTTATGCCAGAAGGGTAGTTTGTAAAATTGAAGACAGATGCTTTAGTCGTGAAGACAGGAACAGTTCTAGTGGTGTTAATGGTGATTCTATAGAAGATGAATAAATTGGTTCAAGTGTGAAAGTGAAACATTTGTGTCCAACAAAACTAGTCTTAGCCCAGCTCTTTGCACTAGTGGGGGCACGCGCGAAGATGGCTCACGCGCGAAAGGTGAGACACGCGCGAAAAGCGACTCTCGCGCAAGAGGGTTAGAGCACGTTTGACCGAGAAGACAATCCTCAGAGGGCATGCTTAACGGAAGGAATTCCTTGCCCTTCTACATAACTTAATGAGTTGTTTCTTAGAAGTACAACTGGAGCTGTAACCTAGCTCTCAACCGGTTACAAGATAGATAAAAGTGAGGTAATTTTTATAGAGTCGAATGTCCTTAATACAGCATAACAACTTGACTTACAATACCCGTTTGCGAGATCTTTGGAATTAAACAAAACAAATCATGTCGCTAGCCTTGTAATTTTGGTTAAAGAGAGTTTTGTCAAAACCCAATTACTACTTGTGCCATCTCTAAATTTTCCTTATGACAAGCACGTGCACGACTAAGGTCATTAGCTTCTCAAGGTAAACTTATTAATTCAACAAAAAATCGACAATTTCACCTCGCAACACTCTGTTACAAAAACTCGTAATGTGTCATTTTGGTTAACGAGCTGGAATTGTCAACAGCGACTTTGAAGTATTATTACACTGGACCTAGTTGATGTTTGCCTGAGCGATAATTTACAAAAGGAATTGTATTATTTGAGAAATGCATCCAGACTCAGGACATCGGGTGTTTGGATTTTTTTATTTCAATTAAAGAAAAATCATGAAATAAGGCAAAGATGAGATGAAGTTCACCAAATTATAGCTCTAGATGATATTAATTTTAAATTACTTTCCGAGTCTTAATTGTCAAAGGTAATCGAAAACCGTGTAACTTTTAATGAAGAAATAGGAGTGTTTTAAAAAAATCAACAAATTTCTTCCGTGTCGATTGTTAAAAAAGCAATCAAAGAAAACCTTTAATTTTCTGAGTGTGTCTTAACTCAAGTTTCGGAAATGAAGAGAGCCGCATTAAGTAACACGATGCAATATCTTTACACGAAATTTTAAAAACCTGCCCTCTGGAAATTCATTGTTCGCTATTGAATGGGGTTTAGCTTCGAATTAAAATCTTGCAGCTAAAGAACACATTTTCCCTATATTTGAAAATTTTTTTTTGACTAATTATTTGTTCCATGCAAATTTTCCGTAACAGAGCTCCTTCTTTTCAGCGACTGTGAAACAAACTTCCGATTTTGAGTAAACACAATTTAAACAGATGTGGATTGCCTCATTTTATTACCAAATGGCTCTTAAAACAAGTGCAAGTTTGTTTATTTTCAGTTGCGATATAATTGGATCAAAGGAAAAAACTGAGAACATGCAGGCCGTTCTTGAAAGAGAAGAATCGTCCGCTCACATTAAAAGGCGATCAAGGGATTATCGGAAAAGAGCTGAAATGTGAAGACTTTCCGGCCACACATGGACATCTGAAGGTACGATTGCATCATCTAATTTGGAAAAAAAATGAAGTTATCGTTCTGCTTCGTCGAAGGATTTCTTTGCAGGTGTGCATGTAACCTCTCTCTTTTTTGTCGTTTGTCATCAAATATACAAAATACCAACAACTTGTTCAAACGAAAGGGGCTTTCGTAGCTCGAATAATAGTGAGAAGGCTGAAAAAACTGTCTTAATCTATAAGGGCCAATTTTCAAGCAGAACGAAATGGGTGAGGCATCGAGTATTTTTAAAATTCCATTTTAGCCACATTTGTACTTTCTCTGAATTATTTTCAAGAAGCAAATAGTAATTGATTTTTTCGAGTGCCTTCGGGAATTTGGTGCTCTATCCAAAAAGTATCCCCTTTATTCTCAATACGTGATTGCTCGACAGTGTTTAAACGTGGTAAAGTGAATTTACAAATTGAGCGCACTTGGAATTCCAAGGCACATACCAGCTCAAATTTGCGCTACTGTGCGCAAAATTGGCAAAAAATAGCATAAAAATGTAAAGAAGAGGTCATGAGAGAGAGGCTAAGCTGATATTAAAACATTCTTTTTTGACACGGTTTTGACTACAATGTAGAAATTGAATTTACTTTGGTGGATGCTCAAACTTCTGAAGCACCTTATGCTCATTTCAATCTGGTTTTGCCAGTTTACAATCCTGTTTTCTTGTGATAAGCTTTTATTTCAATCAAAGCAAGGATGATATACAATTGACCAAAATATTATCGAGTGTCGAAGTAAATGTTTTCTTGCATTGGTTTTGTTTTATATCCCTATGTGATTGGTCAAAATAGCTCACACCACTCCTTCGACAAATCAGATCCAAGTTTGTAACAAATCGTGACGTGTTCTCTTGCATCTCCATGCGCATGATCAGTGGCGTTTCCTTGTTAATAATGTTAGCTTTTAAAATTGTTTCCACTTAATTTGATATCTCCCTAAGTTCTTATTTGACATCCGCGGTCTTGGTTTTAGGACAAGTGGTCGGAGTGCCGTCAATTGCAATACTCCAGTAACCTTATCTGAAGTATTTGTTCTCTTGAATTTAGTAAGGAGGTCTTGCATGGGACCGCCGCCATGACAGAAACACGCGCGTGAGAAGTGACTTCACCACCGATTTATAATCGCGTGTTTCCTCGCGCGTGTATCGCGTTGTTTAGGTCTCTGAGAGAATCTGGTACAGAGTGAGTCAGTGTTTTCAATATTTAAAAAGCCAGTTTTTTAACAGACCAAACAACACTTTAGTCAGGCAAAATGTTTCTCCGAGTAGTCTAGATAGACTACACATCAAAGAGAGGAAATAAACGGGCTGTTTTGATTAACAGATACCCCAATTGCATGCATCATTGCATGCATCAGAGAAGAAGAAATGTAAACTCAGTTTTGTGGAATTGTGGTCAGCCTCAACCCACACTTTCTCCTGTCGTTTCAAAGGCCTGCTCGCTGGCAAAACAGGGTCACCTTTTTGAGAAGGTGATCACAAAAAGAGTTGATGGTCTCGATATTTTAAAGAAACTTCCTGTTGCTTAAACCTCTGACAAGAATTCGGCGTTTTCAAATTGTTTTACCTCTTCACACACACGTGTTAAAAGTCTGAAGAGAAATGGGTAGAGCAGGATAATGGACTCTTAAATAAACCGGACATGCGGAATGATGATATTTCATCAAGACTGTTTACTTTTTCCTTATCTCACGCATTAATTACTATGTTTCGTTTTTGATTAATGTCAGTGTAATTGGAATTTTTTTTCATTAGCTCCCTTACTTAATATCGATAAGGTTTCGAAACGAGTTGGAAATTAATTTCACTGAAAACCGAAAGGTTTTGGACTCGTTCAGTGTAATATACCTGATTTCATTTCAATCAGTTTGATACGCGGGCTTATAAAAACCTGTAAATTTTGCTCGGTTAAACTCTCGTCTTCCGCAACGCTACAAGTTTCTCGAATCATTTCTCGAACGACCGAGAAAAAACAAAAAGGAAAAGAAAGTAAGTTCAAAAACGAAAGGTATACAACCAATTCAAAATGACACTAATGATATCTGATCGTAAACTTTTGTAAAGGTTGCTAATGGCATTACTGTAGTCCATTACTTGATTTCGTAATGTTTGTAGAAAAGAATTGTTGACCTGTTTGAATTTTTTAATCAAATTGAATGTACCTTCCTCTGAAACGGAAACACGCAGAGCCAATCATCCAGACTTTATTGTTACACCGTGTACTCGAGCTCGAGAAGACAAAACAAACAGGATGATACAACGTGTTTGCACATTGGATATAGCACTTTTGTGGTCATAACGAAGCATATTTTGCTCCAAATCCGTACCGCATCAACTCGTTTTTTAAACCTGCTGAAATTTTTCTAAGGTACGTGCGCGGATCTAAGCGAATTCTATATTATATTCTATAGCTCGCTAGTTACCCGAGGCTGTTATTCCGGTTGTATTCGACGGCTGGCAAACTTGAGTCAGGTACAAGAGGTAGAAGACCTAAAGGGGAAATCACAAAGATCTTGCCGGTGAGTCAACGGGGGCAAGCACTGCTTTGAAGAGTTCTTTTCTCTGCCTGTACAACTGTCCTCCACAGGATTATCAGGTTTAAATGCGGTCCGCTGTAAAATTGCGTCCCGTGAGTTCAGGCCAGTGTTGTTCATTTTGGATCCAACTTCCGGTACACTGATGTTTGTTTTTTTTTTCAATAAACAGTAATAATAATTAGCTTCGAAAATTGAAATCATCAACCAGGAATATATATCTCAATATACCAGGAAGTTATATCGATCAAATGATAATTTTGGAAGTGAAATGTCTATAATTAACCTTGAGAAGCATTTGGCACGGGTACAACTGTTTCTTCAGACGCACCGCACCGCACGAACTTGTCAAGCGTTGTTGTACTGGGTCTTGACCCAAAATAATCGCAAAATCAGCCTAAATAGATGGCAAAATGGCTTGGAGAATCTGTCGTACGAAGATATGTACTTAGATATGAAATTATTTTGAATAACAACGTCCAAGCATACCGCATAAACTAAAGTCATAGACATAACAGAAACGTGGGTATTATAAAAGTTTACGGATGTTATGTTTAGCGTCGTTGTTAGAGGTTCGTGATTAATTATGGAAGTTGTTTCAGGTCACGTAGCCTATGCTGCACTGCTTTGCGTCTTGAAGCCCAAAAGATGTACAACATCCTGAAAAAATGGTCTTCTTTATGGTGACATAAAGCACTGCAACTGGGACTGACGTGACGTGACGAAGCAAAATCACTGGCAATCTGCCATACACTTCGTGAACTTTTAATTATAAGTGCCTTAGATAACAAATGCACTCTTGTACGAACAAGAACAAAGCTGAAAATTCATGATTATTTACAATTGAGAACTGAATTGAGAGGCGGGAGGAACGGACAGAAAGTTGGCGTAGAATGCTTTTCCTCTTTTAGAGTTCTACACCCGATTTATTTTAAGACCCGACCAACAGCCCTCTCGTGAAAAATAGATTATCTGAAACTGAAAATTCTCCAATTACTTCGGCTCACTTAAACAATCACCAGGGTGAGGAAGCTTTGGCCGCTTTGCACAACATTTGATCTGATAATTAAATTTCCCGATGTGAATAAAAACGGCTTTTTTGGGAAAAAAAAGCCTCATCAAAATAGGTGGAATATATGATCTATAGATTGAACTAAAACAGGTCCTTAAAGACCTCTGTGGCTATAAATTCTTTTTACCAAGTTGAAGAAAGCATTTCAGGGAACCCCCCCTTCATATCTATCGCCCCCTCCCCCCCCCCACCCCCCCCATAACGTTCCTTAACACTCTTCGTTGTTTGAACTAGCATGTTGGCACGTTTTATCCAGTGAGTTTCGGTATGGCAAATGTTAAGGATCAGGGTCAAATTCTCATCAAATCTTTTCCGCACGAGATTATAGTATTAATGAAATTACAAATTACAACCAGCTCATTATAATGTACCTACAGAGAAAAAAAAAGGCATATACTGCGGTTTCCTGAAACAACGTGTCGACAATGATTATTTTAATTTGGCCGTGAGGAGGAGGGGGGAATCCATTTCAGTGCGCGTACGGTCCGCAGGTGATCGTCTGGTATAAGACGTTGATTGACATGTGATCGAAATCTTCTCGTGACTAAAAAACGATCAAGTTTCCTCCCCTATCGAAAACACAGGATGTATTGACGACGAATGCTGTAAGCGCTGTCATATTTCTTATTTCCTTGCAGCATATATATTGCACAGTTTTAAACTAGCTCCAGTCTGTGGCCTCAGTGCAAGATGCTTGTTGTAATTTTGACCGTTTTGACTCTGGTTCAGTTTGGAGAAGGGAAAAAATGTCCTGCCGAATGCACATGCTTTACGGTGGCGCGCAAAATGGAAGTAACATGCTTCAAGATGAGGTCTTTCCCATCCATGGACAGTTTCCCGGAAAATACAAGTACACTGTAAGTGGAAAACTTTTTTTCTATTTTTGTTTCTCATTATGGAGATTTAAACTTAACCTCGCTCTTCCTTCGTTTAGGGGAATTGGCCTTTTTTCGTTGTTGAATATGTACGAATAAACGTCATTCATTTCGTATGTAGGTGATGTGTTGTTTTGCACCGAATCTGACCTTCCTCGTGGCATTTCGCAATAGTTCGCTAGTGAGCTGTAGAAAATATTTTTGAAATATCCTTTGTCATTGAAAGTAGCTTGCTGAGCGGAAGTTTGCCTTTTCAAATTCTAATTTCAGACCCTAGTCGTGTTGCGGAACTCTCTTTTATTATTTCGTAACATTGTTTGCTGCCGTAGGACGTAATTCCTTTGTCACGATAATTATTATCGTTTTGAGAAATACATGGACTTTTTAAGAGACTTTTGCACTCGATTGCACAATATGGATGCTTTTTTTGTGCGAGTTGTACGTATTCTTGGTAGAAAATCGGTTTCAGCGCATCGATTGAGGTCTCAATTCTACTAATGTCATGGTTATAATTATCAATGGCCGTGGAATCCTATAATCACCCTACTTTAGCGCGATCCCGCGTTCGGGTCAGGTTACAGAATGTCGAAGACACGTTGCAGTAGATTCCATACTCGTGAACCAGTAATTGCAGCAAATAAAGTCAATCCCGCGGAGATTTTTACGTCACAGCTTTGCTAAGTAACTCTCGATTGCTCTTACTGTTTAGCTTCTTCTGTAAAACTGCTTATCCGAAAAACTATGGGTACAAGGTAATTTTAACCACGAGTTCTTTGCAAACATGTGTTATGCAAATAGTTAATGGAATGTTAATTTCTTCACTTAGACTATATGTCAACAGAAGTAACATCGCTTTCACAATAATCTTTTTTTCGCCTCAATTACTGTTGATTTTTAATTATCTCGTAATTCCTACTTCCGGCCCCTTAATGAAGTGTTCCATCGCTGCATCATCTTTCATATCTCCCTCAAAGGTAGATGGATAGATGTATCGAAGAAATCTGCTGGCAAGCGTTTAAAATTCCCCTCTCGCTGCCCTACAAGCGTTTTTTGCCTGTTACTAGCTCACCCGTTTCAGCGATATTAGTGTCGTTTCTGTTTTGCGTTTTTCTTTGTCCATGACACGTGTCAACTTGAGAAGGGAATTTTATGGAAACCATTTGAAAGGCAGGTGAAATTGACTAAATAGTTTGTTGGCTTTTTATCTGTACCTTCCTTTTTCAGCTTTGGATCAAAAGTTTAAGAAGCCACATTTGTTTATTTTCGCCTAAAAAGATGTCAGAGCTTGTTTTATTATCTTCTATCACATAATCTCAAGTGGATGTTTTGAAATGACTTAATATTTTAATAAATTTTGGTAGGATGAGGTTTCGTGACTTGGAAAACGTCGAGGTGCTCCTTGAAATACGGGAATTTGGCACGAACTTGCGACACGAAAACAAGTTTAGTTAAACACTCCGATTGAAAAACGTGGGCAATATTTTTAACATGATCCATTGTTTTCTCTTGAGGCGAGCTCTGACCCCTCAACAACAAGAAAACACTTCTATTTGGAAAACAGCTTTGTTATTTTTGTCTGAAGTTTCAAGCTCTAAGCTTAAATTTACACCTTTTACTACTTCTTAGGAAGTGCGGGTCTTTAGCTGGTATTTCTTACCACCCACGTAGAGTTCAATAATAAATTCAAGCTTTGAATTTTAATTATTGTGACTAATCCTTTGAATGGCGAGCTTGCCTTGGGTCTAAATAATTTTTAAGGTTTTCTCGCTCCAGAGTTTCTGCATTACTGCCTAATTGAATCGTTGACTGAAACTGTAAATGTTGTAAATGTTGTAAATGGATCACTGACGCCGACAATCTTCTGCTCGCTTTCTTGATTAAACTACATTCTACCAGTTTCGAGAAGGGGACAAACTGCTGTGCCATCTTTTTTTTCTTTTCCATAATTGCACACGGCTGATAAAAATTCTCAATTACTATTTTGCAGAGAACAAACAAATTTCGATCATTGGATTTAATTTGTCCTAAATTGCTTGTGAAAGAAAAAAAATTGTATAAACACTTTTTTATCTCAAGCGCGGAGTTAAGTAGATCGCGCGCTGATCGTCCAAAAAACGTTGTTCTTTTGCAACGATGAAAGGAAAGATAAAGCAGATTTCCACGATGCTCCCTCTCGCCTCTGAAAGACATTGCAAATCGCCCCCTCTCCATATAAACACACAAAACTGCTGCTCTCACAAAATGTTTTGTTACAAGAATGTTTTCCATCAGAAAGGGAATAACTTCTTTCTTTTAATTTCTTGAATTTATTATCGAGAATTTTTTTCCATTTTCTCTTTCTCCTTGTCGTAATCTTGCCTCTTTCTGCCTCTTTTGACCATACGCGAGATGGAAATCTTGAAAAGGAAGCAACTTTTTTCATGCTATTTGCAAGAGTTGACATGTTTTTCACTGAAGTGTTGCCCTAATGTGGAAACAACAAAGGAATAATCGCTTACTGCATAATTTAAGACTTCTTCTCAGTATGAAGTGCTGTCTTTGTTTTCAAGCCTTCTGCTACATGTAGTTAATTTTGTTTCAGGTAAGCGCACAGTATGCCAAAGAATAAAGGCATTTTCAACTGGTATTCAATACAGAGGAAATTTCTCCACGAATTCTGCTATAATTCTCATTAGCCTGACAAAAATGTTTTGTGAAGTGGGGTCTTCGTGAGGATACATTATTAATTCGAGTTTTTATTGTGACTGTAGACCCTGTCACGGGTATTTAGCGAAGCTTGCGTAACGAAAAAATCGTCCAGTTCAAGATAACAGTAACTCCCGAGCTAAAAATTTTTCGTATGACACAGCATGATCAGGTGGTGGTACAGAAAATAAATAGGGAATAATACATGGGCGCGCGTAGATTTAAATTTCTTTTCAAATTGATCACGAGAAAAGAAATTCCATATCTACTATGTATTCTTTTGTTTATTATATAAACACTATAGGCCTTTACTAACGGGGAAAGTCGGTCAAATGGCGCGAAAGGCGGGTGGCGTGTCAGCAGCTCATTGGCAATATCGAACACGTAAAAAAAATATCGTAATTTTAAACGTGAGATGATATGGTTTTTCTCAGGGCTGGAAATCCTTGTAAAACACCGCAGGAAGTACTTAATAGTAAAACACCATCAGGGAATTTTACCCTGTCAGATCACGGGAGTAAAAAGGATAATTTTTTGTTTTTTACAAATGCATTCTCTTTTTTGTCACCGGTACTCCATTTTATGTGTTAAACCATTGTTTTTACGTTGTTCTTTTTGTAGGAATATATATGACTCCTCGTTCTCAAACATACCCGAAGGCGAGCTGAATAAATTGAAGAACCTATCATTCATGTAAGTGTATGTTATCTTCCATACTTTTTTTCCAGTTTTTTATTCTTTTTACCAGCATCGGTAGCTGGTATCCTCTGTACAATTCCTTATAGCAAACTACCCTTAAGTAGACTTAGAAGAATAACTTTTTAATCATCTCAAGATGGCGGTGTTAAGGAAATTTAGCTAAATGAAAGTGAAACACCATGACAATTTGATATCATCAGCTGATATTATTATTATTATTATTATTATTTAATTATCAGTCGATAATTAACAACTATTACCTGTAGTGTAGGAGGCTAGTGGTTGATATTTCCATCTCTAGGCACCGACACTGAGGTGAATGGTTTTTTTTAGTATACAATAAAACAGTGAGACAAAATAGCACAAAAAGATGATATTAACTCATTTTTTCCTGCAATAATTACAAAATTTTTCGTACGCAAATCCCGTGCGTCTTATTCGGAGGTAAATAGCGAAGGATATTAGAAGAAGGATCAGCCAATCAGCGCGCACCTTCAACGCTATTATACACTAATGAAAATTGGCCACCAGCTCCGCATCTCGGTAAATACTCACCACTTCTCACTTGCACTCCGGTGAAAAATTGTTAGTTTTTAACATTAAATCGTTGAAAATTCAAACTGGAACTGAAAATGTACTCCTTTTTCATCCTCAGACGCTTGAACAACAACATGATTACTCACATACAAGATGGGGCCTTTGATGGCCTTAAAGATCTTTTCGAAATGTAAGTATGAAATCCATTTGTTGAAACATGCATTTGCATTAAATTAGCTTTTTTTCGTTATTTAGTTGAAAGAGAAAAGTCGCTGACCGGTTTTTTTTATGTTTGATGTTTTGTCTCTCAGAAACCTGGATCACAACAAACTGGAGACCTTTCCTATTTTCAAAACCAGGTCACCGTTGAAGAGGCTGTAAGTAAAGATATCTGTCAATAGATGTGAACGGTAGATGAACGTGAACAAATTCGCATCTCGACTGGCATGTCTACCTTTCATGGCAGCTCTATGAACAAACAAGTTCGTCTCTTCTTCTTTAACGCCTGTAAAACTATGAAGAAATACTTTCACTGAATTTGACGCATGGTTTGAAAGTTGGTAAATACCACTGGTAGAATATCACCACCCAGGAACAAAATTGGTCATGTAAAAAATTTAAACCGATCAGGCGTCAGCGAAAAAATCTTATGGATTTTAGCAGTTTTGAATAACATTTTCTAGTGCTGCGTGAGATTACGGAAATCCGCAGCTTTTACCTCGAGAGTTTCTCAAGCTTTCATAATTCTTTACGGTAGCCAAGTTACATTATTAACTCAGTTGATAAAACCGAATTATCTTGTCATCTTGTCATACCCTCTCTCCCTTCCCCCCCTCCCCCCTCCCCCCACCGACGCAGTTTAACTATTAGGTGGGTTTACTATTCGTTCAATTCCTCACACCAATCTCTAACCATTGTCTTAAAATAAATTGTTCCAAATTTTTTTTTCTCCAGTTATCTCAACCACAATAACATCAAAGCATTGTCGCGAGTGTCTCTAAACAATCTACCGGAGCTGACCCGATTGTAAGTACAGACTCTGCAGACCTGCTTCATAGACAGCGGGCTTAATTGCTATGCTTCTGTATCCGTATAAATTAGCCTTTCTGGCCGCGAAAACATTTTGAAATGGGTTCCAAAATCATTCCGCTCGGATTTATTGCCCAAGCGTGAAGCGTGCGGGCCATAAATTCGAGCGGAAAAAACGAAGTTAGTAAGATATTCATTTTAACTCTAGGTTCAAGTAGATGGGAAAGATTTCAGTTAAAAGAGACTTTTTAATTTAGCGGACCGCACAGTGCATTATGGCCCGTTGAATTGACCAATCACAACGCACGTACTAACCGAAAGATGTAGTAAGCGGTAAATTATCATTCCCGCCATCATGAAAGAGGTCTTTCCATTCTCTTTTATCTCACCGAGAGATTCATTCGCAGTTTCGACATCATCTAGCAACTAACGTTATCGCTAGTCTCTCGATATTGGTTGCTAGTTCACGGCTCATTCTTCCCCAGTATTTTGTCAGTTCTACAGTACCATTTAAACTCAGACATTGTGAGAACGAGATGTCTTTTCAAGATTATAACGCTATGATTCCAGGACAAAGAATATTCTTATCCCTTTTTTTTATGAAAGCAATTCGTGTTCATCAGTTGGAAAATGATGTTTTTTGGTAAAAATTCCATCATTTTTATTTGCAGAAGATTAGACGAGTCAAGCATCACAGAGATACCTGCGTTTATATTCAGTAACAACAAAAAGCTAGAAAATTTGTAAGTAGATTCGCTCGTTTATTTTCCGTCAATTACTCCGAGTTACTCTTAGTTAAACAAATTGCAAAAGTCTTTTGAATTTGAACCCGATTGGTGGAAGCGTCAGTCTGTAAACCAATCATAGAACTTGCAAAGGAGCAGAAGAAGATCCAAACAAAGCAGCAGTCGAGCCGGGACTCTGAACACCTACTCCAATTTTTTCTTTTTCAAGGTCATAAAATTGAGTTTAACAATACACTTGTGAGGCACGAATCCTGCATTTTCAGGATAGCCATATTAAGAACTGAAGCCACAAAACAAATTAACTTCAGCTGAACTAATGCTGTTTGTATTTTCATTTCAGGACTATACAGAACTCACCTTTGAAAAAAATTGACGACGATGCATTTAAAGGTTCAAACCTTCAAGAACTGTAAGTATCTAATTTAATGAGGTCAATACTTGTTGAAATTGTAAAAACAATTACCTAATTCGGAAATTAGGCAATTAACGAGAAACACTCTGACATGCAAGCACTGCCAATCTCTCTGTAATCTATACAAGAACTAAAACCCCCTGGAAAACGTACGTCATCAAATTTTTGAAGCAAGTTTAGTTCAAATTCAGAGTTGGTAACAACTTGAATACAAACGAAAAGAAATTAGGCTAGCAATTTACGACAGAGGTCTATGAGTAAAGACACGTTCATTATTTTCATCAATTTCCTCACCATGCTTTCCAGGTTCTTACAAGGTACAAAAATCACATCGCTACCTGCAACAGGACTTGATCAATTAAAGAAATTGCACCTGGAGAATGTTGAGGATTTCTGGTCGATTCCAGCCGGTCTGAAAAGCATCACAGAGGTGTATTTGAGTAAATACAACTCTTTTTTGTGTTGTGCCTTCGATCTGGGTACATACCAGCGCAATATGGGACGACAAATTAGCGACGGGTGGTGGACCTCCTCACCTAAACATTTTACATCAGCTGCTTACAAAAGCACAGCGACGGAACCCACGACAAATACTGATGAATCCTCTACGTTAGCGTCTGTTGCGTCAGGATCTTTTAGATCTACAACATACACGCCAACTCACAGCCCGAGCCAACACCGAAATTCGTCGACCACTCCTTTTAACCCATGGGGAAGAAGAAAACGTCGTGACTGGGGAGGATGGGGGACACAAGCCCCCACGGCTAACCATACAAATGGTAGTTATACCTCACAGATAACTACGTCTGGTTCCAGCGGCGGGGGTTTGGTTACTCCCCACGATGGTTTTCTACCCGTAACAGCTTCTCTTCGTCCCACACTCCATCATGAAAACACTACAAACAGAAGTGTAATAACAGAACCACCCCTTTCAACTGTGACTTGCTTGCCCGAAAGAGACGCATACCACCCATGTGAGGATATAATGGGAGCAAAATGGCTTACTGTGGTGTCTTTCATGATAGGAAGTGTGGCACTAATTGCAAATCTTGTCGTCGTCGTTGTCATGCTCTCAAGTGATCGTCGTTTGAACGTTCACCGTTTTCTAATGTGCAACATGGCCTTTGCGGACTTTTGTTTGGGCCTCTACATCTTTCTGCTCGTGTGCGTGTCGCTGAACACTTCAGGTGATTATTACAACTATGTCAGGACCTGGCAGTACGGTGCTGGCTGTCACATCGCGGGCTTCCTTGCTGTGTTCTCCACAGAGCTGTCGGTGTACACTCTCACAGTCATCACCATCGAACGATTTTTTGCCATCGTGTACGCCATGGAAGTGAATACTCGACTTTCACTCCGCAAAGCAGTTAAAGTTATGATTGCAGGATGGGTTCTTGCTCTTCTCCTCGCCATTTTCCCTCTTGCTGGCGTAAACAGCTATAGTAGTGTGGCAATTTGCCTACCCTTTGACTCCCACACGAAAGGAGACTTGGCCTACGTGGGTATCGTATTAGTACTAAATTTTGGGACTTTCTTGGTCATCGCGGGATTGTACGCGAAAATGTTCCAAGTCGTGGTAGGACCCGGTCCAGTTGATGGGGCCCCGCAGAGGAATGATGCAAAAGTTGCCAAGCGGATGGCTTTGCTTGTTTTTACCGACTTTGTTTGCTGGACCCCCATTGCATTGCTGGGCCTTATAGCAGCTTTTGGCTCACCTCTTATCGGAGTGGAGGATTCAAAGTTTCTCCTCGTGTTCTTCTTTCCACTCAATAGCCTATGCAATCCATTTTTGTACGCCTTTTTCACGAAAGCGTTCAAGCGCGAGTTCTTTGCCCTTCTGAGTCGCTTTGGGTTCTGCCACACGCGGGCTTTACATTACAAAGGGACGCTGTCGTCGCTTATCTACTCCCGGTCACGCACCAAGCGCTCCACAATAGCTGAAGATGACACGAGATCGAAGCGAATCTCACAAGTATCCGCTATTTCAGGTACTGAGATCAAAACAGGAATTGGTTTCTTTAACGGCAACTGCAATGTTTACCAAAATGGCCATCCTCAGGATAGCTCACCGGAGTGCATTCCCATGAAAGGTGTTCACAACCAGGGCTTCGGCGATGTATCACCAGAGAACCCCGGCAACGATGACGTTTTTTTCAATACTATGGCTGGAGCAACACCGACGGCTGACACGTCTCCGAGGTCTCCTTCGCGGAGATCGCCCGCCGATTTGGAATCTCCTGATTGGTCAAATCGTAGCACGCCCCAAATTTCTCGAGCTCCAAGTGTCGGCAGCTTTCATGCAGTCGAGGGACAGCTGACGGAGAGGAGAATCAAAAAACAGTCCGTTTCGTTCAAGGATATCCCGAAAATAGACCTTCAAAGCTCAACTGAAACACTGTGATAGCAAATGAAACCATCGGTGTAACATGACGGACATGACAGGATACTCTTTGCAGGCACTGAATGTCATTGGTGATTGTTTAAAGTGAAATTAGTTGGTTGTTCTTCTTAGACGTGTCGACCTCCATATAACCAACCAGCTGTTGTTCAAGAAGTAGGAGGCATTTGTTCACCCTCTTATGATTATGTGAAAAGCATACTTGAGAACGGTGACTGCGCTGTTCAGTTCCCAGCCATTTTGAGGAAGGCGTGATCGCAGTTTCAAATCTCAAGTAAACATTTGATAAATTATTTGTATAAATATGTCGACTATATTAATCGAACTAAATCTTTAACATATTGAAAAATTTTGTTGGATTACCGAAGACATCGTCAAAGACCTTTCTCAAGAACTGGCGCCCGAAATTTTGATTCATGATTCAGAAAAGTATACTCATGAAAATAAAATAGTTAGAATGGTAACTACTTTTATAGAACACAGAGGGGAGCACTTAAATCCGGCAGATCCACTAACGTTATATTCAGATAGTCTCTCGAACGAATGATGTCTCCACTAGGCCTTTACGTCCAAACGAAGTTATATTTTTTCAGCTGCACTGAACGTTTTGTTGCAGGAAAGTATTAAGGATTACGACGGAAATCAACGATGCTTACGTGGCGTTGGTTTACACAGCTTTTTTTGTTGTTGTTTTATTTAGCCGCCATTTCTTGAGAAGGGTCAATGAATAGAACATAAATAATAATATAAAAATCTAATTGCACTTTTGAAATTTTGTTGATTTCACGTGTATTACGGGCAGTCGCTCTGACTGAAACGTTTTTGCCCAGTTCCTATGGTTCCCAGACCTTCACGGACACATTGGTGGGTGGCACGCTGAGGAACTTAACAATATCTTCATATAAATAAAAAGAAAATGGGGGGAAAAAAAAAGGGCTGTGCGCAGTCCTCGCTCGGCCTTTCTAGAGTCTGCTAGTGGTCTCATTATGATGTAATAATACGATACAACTCACATTGAGGTAAAAAGTTTAACGACTGCGTTAATGATGTTAAAAATGTATGGCCTTGGTCATATTCTGTTATGAATACAATATGTATAAGGAAATGAAGCTCCAGGGTGTGAGCCTGATTTAATGTATAAAAGATGATGTTATGTGTTCTCCAAATGTTTCCTAAAGACCGAACTTCTTGCGAACACACGAGCGCTGGAAACACACGAGCGTAAGGACGAGAGCATTGAGCAGTTTTTCAGTTAACCCTATAACTCTAAAGATCTGATTGTTAATTCTCCCCTCTAGCTGCCACAGGTTTACTTCCAAATTAGTCACGAGAATTTGGTGTTTGATCAAGATAACAACTTTTACCTGATAAGTTTGAGTATACTTACTCATTTTTTAGCGAAGAAATGGCTTCTGTCGTAGTGGAGTTGTCTTCTTTAGGTGAATTAGCACTCAATATTTCTTAGTTATTATTATTATTTTTTTTTTTTGAGAGAGAGAGAGAGAGAGAGAGAGAGAGAGAGAGAGAGAGAGAGGGATTTGCACGGAGGGCGTGGACATTGATTGCGAGACCAGAGAGGGGGGGAGGGCAAGGAAAGAAGAATTGTCCGTGCCCTCCCCACCCCACTTACACTTAATCAAACGCGGCAGACTCAACTAAGGGCCTGTTTAAGTGGAGGTGGGAGAACCCAGGTAGGTGAGGTAACCCGCCTAGCCGTGGTCAAAAAATAAAATGCGTTTACATGCAATCTTACAACCCCGGGGTGCTGGGGTGAGGTTTCTTGAGGTTGTTGTTGCGCTTGGTCGCATGGTCGATTTACAACGCTAAATATTCCGAAATGTGGATATTTTACACCCCTTGTGTGTCCGTTGCGGTTTCTTGTGATTTCTGCCATGAGACGGCTAGAAAATGTACAAAGTTTTAAAACATGCACGTTTCGCTTTTGAGCTTTTTGCCATGAACGCGACCCCGGTTAGGCGGGTTACCTCACCTTGACAGGTGTATTTTTTCTTTTTCGTTCCTTTACATTTCTCGTCACCAAGGATCCTGCATTCTTAAATAGTTAGCTGAGCGTGCAAACAAAACCCCGTGCTGAATATGTGACGTATTAGCCGGCTAGTGGCTGGTGTTGTTAATGAATATTCATCAGAAATGGTAGAATTTTCAGTAAACCACGCTTTCCACTGGAGAGAGAAGATGTGCTTTCCCTGTTGGAGATAAAGTTGGACTCTGGAAGAACGAAGGTGCATTGACGGTAAAGAAGAGCAACGGAAAACTGTCTTCTTGCACTCTGACAGAAGGTGAGAAATCATTTCGAAGATATTGTCTTGAACTCTTTGTGAGAAAGCTTAGCTAGTCGCAACAACTCAGTCAAGCAAGTCAACACGTGTCAAATGTTTTATACAAGTAGCTCTTCAAATTTAAGTTTGAATCACCGAAGATGTCGGCCTCTGCAGAAGCAGATCCTATGGCTGTAAACATTTTAACTAAAAAGTCTCTACCATCTAATGTTTGGACGCTAAGATATAGGATCTTTTTGTGCTAGATTTATTCGCGAGGTCATTAACGCGGCCACGTGAACTTTTCAAGACCTCTCTAATGAATCCGTCCCCTAAAGTTTTCAAAGAGCAGTCCTCATTTCTATTCTTCGTGAAGATTAAAAATAGTAAGCAATCCACTGAACACTTAAACATTCTAAATTTCAGAAGGAGGATTGTTGTCAGATGGATGGAAAGATAAAGAATGTTGCCAAGAGGACACAGTGGAATCACTGGCTATAAGAGGATACTGCCTCGAAGATAAGAACTTTGAAATATTGTGTTACAGTAGCAAAAATGGTGGCTGCTTATAAATATCTAGTTTGAGTGAAAACGCTTCCTCCTCGCCAGTTGTCAAGTGTTATTCATCTTGGAGTCGACAATGAATACAGTTCATGGTAAGCGATTAGAATACGTTTAGCCACCATTTTTTAATTAATTTGTTGTGATGTAGATTGTTATACAAATCTTGAGCGACCGGATCGTATGACTTTTGAAGTTCACTACCAGCTTTAATTTGGAAAAAAATATTTCACAGGAAACTTTGGTCATATACTGAGCAATAGTATCAATTGGAGATCATTTGTAGACGAAGTACTTATAAAAACTGAAACTAGAGTTGTTGATTTGGTAAGACTGGTCGCTCATTTTTGGTTTGCTTAACAGCTAGTATCACATTGTTACCTCAGTTGATGTCGTAGAGGATGCGAATTTTCAAGATGGCACTGCACCAAAATGTATTTGGCGAGGTAAAAGATTCAAAATCCCATCGTGCTGTAATTAGAATCAAATTCTTTCAATCACTCGCACGTACAAACCCTACCGTCGACTTGAACACTACGCAATGTTTGAAATACAGCATTAATTCTTTTCAACAACTGACTTCAGAAAGCTGGCTAACTGAAATATAACAGGCCCCTCTAAAACTAGGGACGTCAGCATTTTTCAGTAACTTTTATAACACCAAAAACTACCACAAACGACCTTAACACGGCCAAGGAAACATACGCTACGACTCACCTTCACCGACAGATTAGAGCTAACTTATCACAACTTGACGAACGCAACTCGAATCTGACAGCCGGTAACATCAAGGGAAAAAAAGCGCTTCGAGGCTTTTAACACCAAACTGATTTGATTGATATTTCACTCTCGTCGAAAGCTGCATCAATGAGTTATGTTCGTTAAACATAGAAGTATTTCAAGTCAAAAGTGAAACAAAATCCAGTTTAGTGCCATCTTAAAATTTGTATTTGCTGCATCGCCCCATCAACCGAGGTCGGTTGCACGAGGACATTGGCTTCAATGTTGCGACCAGATTTCAGAATTATTCGGGTTATTGCACACTGTTTGGTCTAATCATTTTTTCTCTCTTTTATTGTGACGTTGCAGCCAATGTCTTCTTGTCGTTTTTGGAAGCTATATTTTTAAATCCAAATGCCTGGTTGTTCTTTAAAAAATTTGACTAAAATAAAATGGATTTATACATAAACCAGTTCAAGTGGATTCCTGTTACTGAAGAAGGACGATAGATTTTTACATTTCAAAGATATTACATTCTTCGGTAAATCTTTTCCCAAATCGTGCAATATTAGCCAGCAGTTAAAAGCAAACTCATCTTTCGATATATCATTTCTGTACGTGAGCAAGTCGATATGAAATCTCAGTCGTCCTTTCAAAGAAAGGTAAACAAGAAAAAATTGAATTATCATAGAATTTAAGATGCTGCATTTTCTCACAAACCTTGTGAATTGCTATTAAATTGAACGAACAATGATTTGGTGACAAACTTATCTGGTAAAAGTTAGTGAGGAAAACCTCTGCAGGAGCTCATTGTATTTTCCTATTTTTTAAAAACTTCGTCTCAAAGCAGAATTTCATCTTAAAATAGGCGTTTAATATTGATGCCTATCTCCAATTGGCTGTGTTACTTTGGATATACTAAGTAGCAAAAGTACACGAATTTCTTTTGACAAAGTTTTTGGGATGAGATAAATTCTCTTTGGAATCTTGTCTTCAGCTATATTTTGTTAAAAGTTTCCCTTTTAATGAAGACGAATGGAGAAATTTTTAAAAACTAACAACGTATTTGTCTGGTTTGTGAAGAAAGCACGTGAATTTTGCAAAACGTGACAATTAAAAATGCAAATGATTTTATCAAATGGGTTACATTGCTTCATCTTGTCCGTGGGTCGCCTAAATTGTAGCATTGAAACGGTTATCTTTTCCAGTTACTGGTTTATGTAACGATTTCTCTCTCAAGTCATACATTTATGTTAGTTGGCAGGAATCTTTATTTACCCCTTGTACCAGGCATTTGGTTTTAAAATGTAAAGTAGATTATTTACCTTTTAAGTAGAAGAAAGATCTTTGTGCTATCATTCGATGTAACACAGGAAAAAATATTTTTTAAAAATCTAGTGGTTTTTTATCTTCAAATTACTCAATTGAGCTATAGTGAAACAGAATTGGAAATTGTTTGTTTCGTTCATGAAAGAACGTGGAGTTTGATTGCAGCTGAATTAAGATATATAAAAATTCTTTAAGGAATTCAAGCAAATGTTTGACGTTTTTTCCTAGCAAAATCACAATCCCTCGATTTGATTGAATGAAGAATTTGAAGTTCGAATTGTAAGCCCCAACTTGATATTACTTTGATTCTCAAATTGCTTCAATGCACTTGAAGTCTAATTGGAGAATTTTTACAGCTCTAGTGGCTAAGAAAATATAACTTCCGAGATTGTGTTTAAAAATTTATATTTCCATCCAGAAAATTGTTAAATACTAACTACAACTTGAAATTCCTCCATCGGTAAAACAAATCATGAATAGTTTTATGCGCTTTCAATCTGAAATTTTTGTCCTGTGTTACATTCAAGAACAGACTGCTTTAAAGATCTTTTGATTAGAAAAAGCGTTATGGCAAATTATGAGCAAAAAAATAAACTACTTGGATGTTAAAATTCAAGCAGTAAATTCTGATTTATTTTGGCATGATGCTTTTTAGTTTAAAACATTATCTCGTGCAAAAAAAACAGAAGTCAAAAGTAACTGAGCAAAATTCTTTGGAACTTTTTACAAGTAAAAGAGGAATTGGAGTTTAAATTTTAATTTTTGCACGAAATGCTGTTTGAATAATTATTGGCGGTAGATTTGAAACGAAACCTCGTTAAAATTTTTGCCAGAAAAGTTGCTAGGGGAAACGCTGTGCAAATCTATTCAAATTTTCCCGCCAAAAGTCTTAGTATATATAGGGAAGATTTTTCTAGACACCTTTTTAATCAATTTCATCGAAAATTACTTAATTAATTAACTTACAACTCATAAACTGATTTGCTAAGTGAAACACTTGTGATTTATTGAAAGACAATAAAAGATTACAACCAAAAAAATTAACCCTTTATTGACTTGTTTGTAATAAAATAATAATACAGCGAGTGAATAATAAACTTTATTTTCCATTGAATATACTTTCTTAATTATACTTAATGCTTTACATAAAAAAAAAAAACGGCGCATGCGTATTTTGAGCACCGTATTTTTTCTAAGTCTTTTGGCGGGAAAATTGACCGCATTTGAACATAATTTTACTT